TGTCATACTTGGTGCTCATTCATCCTGTCCTTCACACAGAGATGGGAGCTGCCTAGAAGGGCAGGGTAGGGGGAGCACAGGTCAAACCTACTTGTCTTCTGTCCCATTTAGGTGTTTGTTAGTGCCAGTGTAAGCTCAGGGTTAATTACTAACCCTAAAAGACTCTTTCTTAGGGACATAGGGATGAAGGGAGCTGCGAAGGGCCTGTTACTTCTGCTGCCTCTCCTGCTGCTTATTTCACAACCTGCATCCTCCCAGATTGTCTTTTCTCCCCTTCCATCTGAGCCATGCTCTGCTTTCCTCTCCCTTACCCAGCAGTGGGGTTGTGCTTCCACTCAGGGACTCCTGCAGAAAGAGGGGCAGTGTCCATGCTGCAGCCTCAGAGGTGACCCGAGCTCAAAGCTGTCCCACAGCTCAACTGCTCCAGCAGTTGTTGTGCTGCTGGGTCTGCAATGCTGTGACAGCTCCGAGGAGCAAACAGCTGCTGTCTGAGACAGTTCTGGTGACGTGAGATGGTTTCAGAGACAAATGTTCTCCCAGCTCACTATTGACACATGGGACGGGTAAATGAGATTTACTTTGGCATCTCATTCACTTCTCAATCCATCTTCTCTAGTACTTTTCTCCCCTCCAGCCTGTACGTGGAAAGGTCAATCGGTTTAATTATAGATGTTAGACACATACGTGCCATTTGCAGCTCTGCTAAGTGTGCTCACACAACTGGAACCTCTTGCATCAAGTATATAGCAACAGGTTTCTCATTGCAGCAAAGGTGCTCACTGGACCAGGATAGAAGAAATAACTAACTGAAGAGCAGTGAGTTTTAATGACAGTTCTGCAGCTTCCCCAGGGCTGTCAGAATATGCTACAAATGTTTATTAAAGTTCACTGCCTTCCTAAATAAACACTGACATCTCTATTTAACACAGTCAAATCCAAGACAGCAAACTGACCACACAGCACAAACCATACAGGAAAGAATTCTCTGCTCCCCTATATCCTTCTCAGTGGAGCAGGGAAACCTGTGCAGTCCCTCAGATGACACCATGTACCAGAAGAGCAGGAGCACAGCACTCTGAAGGCAGCCTTGATAGGCAGCCTTGATCACATCATTCCATGCTTCTTTAAAGACCCTGACATCCATGGATGGTGACCACAACAGGACAGCCAAGGGGTGGCACCAACAGATTCTGCTATAGATAGTCAGCCTGGCACTTGCCCACCTATAGTGTTCTTGCTAATCACTGTAACACCACCCCAGAGGACAAGTCCACTGACAAAGTGGGTACTTTTGATACCTGTCACTTCCCATTGTAGTTCTCTTTGGCATTCCCACATTTAAGACACTTTGAAAAGCAGAGGCACAAACCCATTAAGGGACTATAAATGGTTGACTGAGACTTGTGTGTTGTTTCCATCCCTGTAGAGAAACCCACGGAATCCTATAGGGGTCAAAACAAGCACACAAATTCACCACCGGTAGTTACCTTAGTCTTTGGAAATGATCCTATCGTGTGTTCCAGCAACTCTACAGCAATATAAACTTCACTTTGAAATAAAGGACACTTTAGGATTTTTAATTGCATCCTAACCTTTCATTAATTGGGCTTTATGCAGTGAGCAACATCACAATAATAGGTCTGCAACCCCTGTGTGGAATACAAATGGGCCACAAGCAGGGGAGAGCACCTGAATGTGCCGGGGCCAGCAGCGCCGTGGGAGCTGATGGACTCAGCCAGCACCACAGAGACTTCCTCATTATCCAGTGGCCTTTGGTTGACTGGAATTACTTTCAAAGCAAGCAACATCAGAAAAACATTCCCACACACCGCAGGTTTTGGCATTCACTCATCAGAGAGGCATAAAACAGCTCTAGAAAGTGATGGCTTTGGGCAGCTCTGAAAAGTCACATCTTAAATTTATCTCCGTAATAATGAGGCTAGTGAACAATTCTGTCAGCCAGATTTATTTGCACACCTCACATTGATGTTTTCATGTCATTTCTGAACTTCCCATAAACAAAGGGGTTTACAGCTAATAAAAGTAATAATCCCAAGGGCAGGAATTTGTTTATGGCTCTGGCTGCATGCGTGCAGTTTGCCTGCATCTGTTCCACAGCGCCCAAGGGACCGATGCTGCAGGATGCTCAGCATGGCCCTGGCTATGCCTGCAGGTCACTTGCATCTGCCTGCAATGCACAGAACCTGAGGGATTGTAGAATGGTTTGGGTTGGAAGAGACCTTAAAGCTCCTCCAGCTCCAACCCCTGCCACGGGCAGGGACCCCTTCCACTGGAGCAGCTTGCTCCAAACCCCTGTGTCCAATCTGGCCTTGAGCACTGCCAGGGATGGGGCAGCCACAGCTTCTCTGGGCACCCTGTGCCAGCGCCTCAGCACCCTCACAGGGAAGAGCTTCTGCCTAAGAGCTCAGCTCAGTCTCCCCTCGGGCAGGTTCAAGCCATTCCCCTTGGCCTGTCCCTACAGGCCCTTGTCCCAAGCCCCTCTCCAGCTTTCCTGCAGCCCCTTTAGGCACTGGAGCTGCTCTCAGGTCTCCCCTTCAGGAGCCTTCTCTTCTCCAGGCTGCTCCAGCCCAGCTCTCTCAGCCTGGCTCCAGAGCAGAGCTGCTCCAGCCCTCGCAGCGTCTCCATGGCCTCCTCTGGACTCTCTCCAACAGCTCCACTGCTCTTGTGTTGTCCTCAGGAGGTCTCACAGTGCAGAGGAGCAATTAACAGTCTCAAAGCCAGATTTCCTCACTTGGCTTCCTTTTGGCCATCTCAGCCTTCCTACTTCATTCATGTGCCTTACCCTTTACCACCCCTTCACATATCCTAAAGCCACAGCTGAGCAGCCTTTTGCCAGGGACAAGCACAGCTGCAGGAGCCCCACTGGGGAGCACAAAACCCTCGGTGTGGATCCACAGGGGCCAGGAGCAGCTGGGATGCAGGACCCTGCCTTGCTGCAGCACAAACCCCTCTGCCCTGCAAGCCTGGGATGAAGTCCAGGTCCTGTACGTGCCCTGTGCACAGGGGCAGGGTTCACTCCCCAGTTTTAAGAGTGAGGTTCCCAAATCCTTTTGGACATTGAGCATTCCCAGGTAGCTTTGATGCTTTCATCCTGTGACCCTCCCTAAAACACCCCTCCAGGCAGAGCAACAGCTCTGGCACCGGCTGCATTAGAGCCAGCAGCACCTGAGACCTCTCCCCACACTGGGCTGGCTGGAGATATTTCCCAGCAGAAAAGTGTTGTCTTTTGGGGAGTATGATGTCATTTGTTCTAATTCTTGTTGACATTTCATTTCTCATGCTATTAAATGAACCCCTTCAGAAGGCTGAAACAAATTTGCTACAGAAGAAAGAAAATGCATGCTTTAGGACAAATCAAGCTCATGATTTGTTTTTCTGATACGGGTAACATACATAGAATCATAGAATCATAGAACAGTTTGGGTTGGAAAGGACCTTAATATCACCCAGTTCCAACCCCCCTGCCATAGGCAGGGAGACCTCACACTAAACCATGGCACCCAAGGCTCTGTCCAACCTGGCCTTGAACACTGCCAGGGATGGAGCATTCACAGCCTCCCTGGGCAACCCACTCCAGTGCCTCACCACACTAAAAGTAAATATATGGTAATATATGGTGCAAAGCATCCAGCCAAGCTTAAACAGTGCAGCTCTATTGCACGTAATACTGTACTGGTGACTAATGTAACACCACTCGCGACTATTGATATATTGCCATTTCTCATAGAATCACAGAATGGTTTGGGTTAGGAGGGATCTTAAAGCTCATCCAGTTCCAACCCCTGCCATAGGCAGGGACCCCTTCCACTGGAGCAGCTTGCTCCAAGCATGTTTTTTATGATGTCTCATCTCAGTCTCCCCTCTGGCAGGTTCAAGCCATTCCCCTTGGCCTGTCCCTACAGGCCCTTGTCCCAAGCCCCTCTCCAGGTTTCCTGCAGCCCCTTTAGGCACTGGAGCTGCTCTAAGGTCTCCCCTTCAGGAGCCTTCTCTTCTCCAGGCTGCCCCAGCCCAGCTCTCTCAGCCTGGCTCCAGAGCAGAGCTGCTCCAGCCCTCGCAGCATCTCCATGGCCTCCTCTGGACTCGCTCCAGCAGCTCCATGTCCTTAATTTTTCATCCAGTCCCAGTATTTCTAATTAAACCAATCTTTCTCTTTGTTAGCAAGTAGAGCTGAAATGCTTTCTGTAAATATCCAGGTTTGTATCTGCAATAATACGCTGCTGGATAATGGAAGGGCAAGTGTAAGGGAACCTAAATGAATCATTTTTTATTTGAGCAATTTAGCAATGACATATTATATCAATCATTTCTGTGCTGGGTCTGTGGAGTAAGCAGATATCCTGACACGTTTTATACCTTCCTTCGAACAATATGAAATGACCTTAGGAGATAGACCAAGCTGCTAAAGGTGGCAGTGAATCTCTTTTAATGGCAAAATGGAGCAAGGAGGGAGAGGGACACCCTGGCCAGGCAGTGTGGGGCAGGAGGACACATGGGGATGGTGGATCTGCAAGCAGGGCACAGGCCATTGCTAGGGGACCAGAGGTCCCAGCTTTGGTAGCATCACGCTATGCAGAAACCCCCAAAAGAACAGCTACCATAAACACAGCTTCCTCCTGCTTTTAACTCCCAATGTGCTATGTTTCTCTTCTGTGGTGATTAAAACTCAGCAAAGTCATTAATACTGAGGCTTTCCTCACTGAATCACGTTAAAGAAACAGACTTCCTTACTTATTTAAAGGAAATAACCCCCTTTTCCCCATCTAGAGCTGATCTCATAGGGGAAATGTAATACTGACAAATACTGCCAAGGAGTGCATTTGTCTGGGGCTAACCAACAACTTTATGAACACTGTAAAACCACCATTTCTGGGGTAAACAAAGGCTGCTATTTGCAGAAATCACACAGGTTCACGATGGCAATGCAGCAAAGCAACGTGCAGGGAGGTTGTCCCACAGCACTGCAAACGTGGGGCTGAACCGTGGGGTCCTTGCCATCCCATTCCTGGGAAAAGCAAGGGTTTAGGGACAGACACACAGCCCGAGTGACCACAGGGCTCTCAATTTGCCAGCCCAGCACCTCAATGATCTGCCCCAAAACGCTAGAACCTAGGAAGAGGAAAAACTCTCCTGAAACAAGGAATAATATGGAGGGTGATGTGAACTTTTCCCTTCTCCCTTTTTAAAGTGGGATTATGGCATATAATAGCCTTAAAGACATGCCCCAGGGCCAGTCCCTTTTACAGTGAATAATACCTAATCACCCATTTCTTCCCATATAATATACTACCACCTTCTAAATTTGTCGATCTAATTAGCTCTTTCCCCTAACACTCACTATGATTAAATCTGTATTAAAGCTTTCTGTGCAGCACAGGAGCAGACACACCTGAGCATTGGCTAAATTTAGCAGAGGACGGTATTTAATGGGTTATTTTTAATGGATGCTGGAATAGCTGCATAAATGAATTCTGATTTGAGTTTTCTCAGCCTCCTTATTTTTTATCTCAGCTCCCTTAAATTGTATATCAAGCAGATTAGGAAGAATAATGGAGAATCTTACCTGGCACCATCCATCAAGTATCCTTCAGAACTAAATTAACAATGAGCACTTTATGCAAAAAGAGGAGGAAGAAACTGGGTTTCTTTACACTTCAGCTCCATCATTTTATAAGATGTGTCAGACTACACACATCTGGACTCATCTCCCAGTCTTCATGTGGTTTAAACAGGGCAAGCCTAAGGGCTGGAAACAGTTCCAAAGCATGTTCATAACTTGCATTTGATTTAGGAAGATTTGCATGTATTGGGGGTAACTAAAAGGCCTCTTTGTGCATTGTGGAGCAGTGACCTGATCCCCTTTCACAGACCACATCAAAGTTACTGTTGATATAAATCATCAGTGAACCACCAATTCCTAAGAGGTTTGTCACACACCAGTGCTCTGCAGGCTCAAGCGTGAAGGTAAAGCTGCTTTCTCCACTCAGACTGTGGGCACTCTGTGGAGCTGCAGCCCCAGAGGAGATGGGGGGATGCCAGGCATGGCACTGGGAATGCAGCCCCTGAACTCCAACAGCTCCATGGGGAAAACTGGCTCTGTTCTTTTCTGCAGAGCCCAGGAGATGCCAAAATGTTCCCTGAAGCGACAGGCTGGGGATGCAGAGACTCAGGGGTTATCTGAGCTGTGCAGAAGCACAGGATAAGAGCAGTGGAGCTGCTGGAGCGAGGACAGAGGAGGCCATGGAGATGCTGCGAGGGCTGGAGCAGCTCTGCTCTGGAGCCAGGCTGAGAGAGCTGGGCTGGGGCAGCCTGGAGAAGAGAAGGCTCCTGAAGGGGAGACCTTAGAGCAGCTCCGGTGCCTGAAGGGGCTGCAGGAAACCTGGAGAGGGGCTTGGGACAAGGGCCTGTAGGGACAGGCCAAGGGGAATGGCTTGAACCTGCCCGAGGGGAGACTGAGCTGAGCTCTTAGGCAGAAGCTCTTCCCTGTGAGGGTGCTGAGGCGCTGGCACAGGGTGCCCAGAGAAGCTGTGGCTGCCCCATCCCTGGCAGTGCTCAAGGCCAGGTTGGACACAGGGGCTTGGAGCAAGCTGCTCCAGTGGAAGGGGTCCCTGCCCGTGGCAGGGGTTGGAGCTGGAGGAGCTTTAAGGCCCCTTCCAACCAAAACCATTCTGGGATGCTATGCGTGTGGCAGATGTTCCCTGCCATGGAGATCTCCCATTGGAGCAACAACTGAGTTGTCTCAGCCCTTGAGAACAGGAGTGACTCAGGGCTATATCCTGAGTCTCAGAGAGAATTTTAATTGCTCAGTGCAACTTGCAACCAAAGAGGCAAAGCAGGAAGGATGGGAGACCTGGCAATACCAGCTCCCAGAAAAAAGGGTAACATTCTCTGATGGGATCTCTTCTAAGTCCTTTCACCGTCATTCATTAGGAAGGTAGATGGACACCACGCTGATGTCTCTGGGGCTCCTAACTGCCTTCAGAACACCCCACAAAGGTCTCAGTGTGCCTCTAATCGGAATACTTCCTGTTGCCAGTGAAGGAATTCAGTGAATCCTGTTGCAAGGGTTGAAAGTCAGTTCCTGGCCCATTTAACTACACAGCCATCTCTTTCATTAGAGTCCACTGGCAGAAAGATAACCAATTCCATCTCCATAATTACAAAGACATCCACAGCAGGAGACAATGAGGTTGTTTCTTACGGAGGATTTGAATTACTTCAATTATTGTGTCTGCAGCCTCCCATTCAGGGAGCATGAGGTTTGGGATTACTTTAGAGCAATCAATTGTGCCTGATTGGTTATATTCAATGCAACTAGATGGGAGACTGAGTTTTTGTTCCCTTTAGGCAATGCAAGCTCAAAGACCTGCAAAATCTCTGTGCCCCCTCTGGGGCTGTCTCTTGAACAGAACAAAGGCACAGGCTGCAGAAAGGAGAAACTAATAATATTCTTGGGTGTATTTATTTTAGGCTGCTTCTTCCTGAAAGCACAGTTTATCCTCACACGTCATCCCCTGAATGCGAAGAGCTGTGCTAGGGAGGTCAGTGCCATCAGCCTCCCTTTGCAGGTGAAGAAACTGAGGCACAGAATTGAAAGTGATGTTGGAAAAGGAATCACTTTTGCTCACGTTGTAGAGCCAAAAGCCCAGAACGTTACCTTGCAAGGGTAGACCTGGCTTCCAATAGAGCGCAGAAATAGAGCAGGAAGGTGTCATGAACCCATCCCTGACCAAAGCACAGATCCATTCCAGGGTGAGTTCACCCTGCAAGCCAAATCCAGGCATGCTGCAGTGTGGCTCCAGTGCAAATGAAGTTCTCGGGACTAATTAAAATGCACTTTTCCCTTTCTCTTCTCTCTGCTAGTCAATAGGATAAACAATAGGCTACTGGAATACAAAGAACTTGCTTTGTGCATTGTGGATTCTCAAAGATGCTTTACAGCATTAGATAGCAAACACAAAAGCTGAGCTGATGATGTGTTTATTTGTGTATAAATGTGTTCCCCTGGTGTCACTTTTGGCACAGAAGAAAAGAAATATGTTTCTGCCTAAACACTTCAAAATGGCCAGAGGATTTGATCCTCATTAAAAGATTTGTAATCCTGTCTCTGGAAGGCATGCAGAAAACCGGGTATGCCTCAAAAAACTACAACACATTAATGGGTTTTACATCATCCACGCCTGTTCTGCCAGACCTCCAACTTACATTTAACTTGAAGCATAGATACGAGCTTGGACTGGATTAAAATTCCACAATGAATTCCACAATGAATCTCTGTCATCTCTGGGAGCCGTGGCCAACGTTAAGAACTCCAACAAATCTCTGAGCATCTTACTGGCTCCAAGCTTATTGAATTTCCTTCAAGTTTCCCCTGAGAAAAGATTGTTTTTCCCTTCATTTCCACCTCTGATCAAAGCCTTAACACCCACGTCAGATCACCCCATTAAACTAAGACCAGGTAACACTTTCAGGTGCGTTTCTTCATTAGCCCTAATGGGGGAGGTAGGAGAATTGTAATTTTTGAGTAAAACATGTATTTATGAAAGCTCTGCTTATGAGAACAACACACCGGTTCGGCACTTCAAGCTTCAGCACATAGCTCATTTCAGCAGGTGATCAAATCCTACTGCCTTAACCAAAGCACTTCTCTAAGCAGCTTCTTTACAGACCGGTTTCAGCATTAGCTTTGCTGTGCTCTGGTCTCCAGCTTAGCCCTTTCATGGTGAGCTGCCTAAGACAGCATCACCACCACTCCCCACAGCTACACATTGTTGCAGAACTAACATCGTTCACTCCCCAAGGAAACTGAAGCGGCCCTGTTGGAGCTGGTTTCTGCAGCGGAGAATGGGAGATGCTTGCATTATCAGTGATGTATAAGATCACAGAATCCCAGACTGGTTTGGGTTGGAAGGGAGCTTAAAGCTCATCCAGCTCCAACCTGTTCCACAGGCAGGGACCCCTTCCACTGGAGCAGCTTGCTCCAAGCCCCTGTGTCCAACCTGGCCTTGAACACTGCCAGGGATGGGGAATCCTATGAAATAAACTGTGAAATACGGCTGTGCTTTTGCAGCTCCTGCCCCAGCTGAAGTTATCTCATCCTGGGACAGCCTCGCAGCTCCTACGTCTGATTTGCAAAGAAAAGGAGGACGTAAGAAAAAAAAAAAATAAAATAAAATGAAAAAGACTTGTTCTTTACTTAAGTGTCACCTGAAAGTTTAAATTTAGGAATTAAAAGTCCCTCTGTGCTTCTGCCTGAATTTTTAAATATAGTCATTAAAAATAAAATCAACCCTTAGCATGATCCACCTTACATAACTTCCTCCACAGTTTAAAAATAACCCGTTCAACTTTCTAGTACTCGGTGTGCATCAGAGCATGGGGTGGGCAGGTACCCGAATGCAGCCACACAGGGCTCAGGCCTCAGCCATTCCCCACCAAGACCTGCCCTTACAAGAGTTTTAGCCTTTGGGTACAGACCCCATAGTAAAGGGGTGAGACCCACGCTGCACCCCAGAACTCAGCTCTCGGGGGGGTGGTGGGGAGGCTGCCAGTGCAGGGGTTACCCCTCGCCCCATCACCGACCAAGCCTGGTGGGTCCTGGAGTGCTGGAGGCTCTGGTTGTCTTTCCACACATGGTGTTTTCCTTCCTTACTGCAAGCACGTGGCACAATTTAAAGAGCTGTTTATGTCTGGAGCTAAAAGAAGCAGAGCTCTGCAGTGTAGCTTGGCTCCTGGATAACTGCATTACCAGAGAATCCTAAATCTTATTTTATTCTGGTCCAATACATATTAAAGTCAAGGAAAAGGCTCATTTAAAGACCCAAGGGTATAAATACAAAACAGATCTATCTTTGTATTTGTGCTGAAATCAAACAATGCATTAATAGTGCTTCATTAAATCATCCAGGTATTGGTCCCTACAGCTCTGTAGCTGAAGCCTCAGCTATGTACCATGGGAAGACCAATTATCAATGCTCTTCTGTTCCAAATAAAGTTCCTGAGACATCTCAGAGGTACCCAAAAAACTGGAAGCCAGTAAGAAGGGCAGGGAGGAACGAAATGACCATATGAGGATGATAAATGCGTTGGAAAGTAAGGAGAGCGAGGAA